CTGTTAGCTCTTCCTCACTGTACAGTGGGGCTGAGCCCACAGCATGCGATACTTCGCTTGGTGAGGGAACACCAAAGGACAGGGGCAGGTAGAGGACACGTGATTTCAGTGGGCTTGCTCCCGGGCCATGCCAACTAACGGTTGTGTCTGACGTACCCACCGACCGTTGGCTGTAGGTGTCAGAGGTGACCTGGGAAGAGGAAGACGACCGAGCCAACCAATCGATGACGGCAGGGTTGTCGGTGGAGGCACGACCGCTGGATGACACCGGGAGCAATGGCCTCTGGCTGCGACTAGTGCTGCCTCGACCCCTTCCTCTGCTGCCACGTATGCTCGCTCCTAAAACATTGCCTCCTCTGCCACTCCTCTGCATGTTGTCTGACATACTCTTTAATTCAACGATTATGTGTCCCTGAGTAACAATTCTGTGTCCCTGAGTAACAATTCTGTGTCTGTCCCTGAGTAACAATTCTGTGTCCCTGAGTAACAATTCTGTGTCCCTCAGTAACACTTCTGTGTCCCTCAGTAACAATTCTGTCTCCCTCAGTAACAATTCTGTGTCCCTCAGTAACAATTCTGTGTCTGTCCCTGAGTAACAATTCTGTGTCTGTCCCCCTGAGTAACAATTCTGTGTCCCTGAGTAACAATTCTGTGTCCCTCAGTAACAATTCTGTGTCCCTCAGTAACAATTCTGTGTCTGTCCCTGAGTAACAATTCTGTGTCCCTGAGTAACAATTCTGTGTCCCTCACTAACAATTCTGTGTCCCTGAGTAACAATTCTGTGTCCCTCAGTAACAATTCTGTGTCCCTCAGTAACAATTCTGTGTTCCTCAGTAACAATTCTGTGTCCCTCAGTAACAATTCTGTGTCTGTCCCTCAGTAACGTTTCTGTGGCCCTAAGTAACGTTTCTGTGGCCCTAAGTAACGATTCTGTGGCCCTAAGTAACGTTTCTGTGGCCCTAAGTAACGTTTCTGTGGCCCTAAGTAACGATTCTGTGGCCCTAAGTAACGATTCTGTGGCCCTAAGTAACGTTTCTGTGGCCCTAAGTAACGTTTCTGTGTCCCTAAGTAACGTTTCTGTGTCCCTAAGTAACGATTCTGTGGCCCTAAGTAATGTTTCTGTGGCCCTAAGTAACGTTTCTCTGGCCCTATGTAACGTTTCCTGTCCCTAAGTAACGTTTCTCTGGCCCTAAGTAACGTTTCTCTGGCCCTAAGTAACGTTTCTGTGTCCCTAACTCTCTCCCTCAATACAGCCAGGTCTGCCTCTCTTGAATGACTGGAGGCAAATGGAGAATTCTAAAATGGCCGCCATTTATAGCTCGACCATTACACAGTGCTGGCTGCTGATTGGCTAATGCGATCACATGTCATGAATGAATGCATTATGGGTCAGCGCGCCTTGTCTGCGCGCCTTCCCAGACATCCCCGCTCCGTCGCCGCACATGTCGCCGCCATTTTAGGAAAAATTTCGATTCGCGCATCCGAAGTATGCTAATTTTCGGATTCGTCGCGAATCGAAATTTTCCTAATATTCGAAACGAATTCCACTTTGCCTAGTTCGATTCGCTCATCTCTAGTTAGGATAAATAAAGAATGTATTTTATTTTATCTGGTTGTCAAGAAGCAGGCACCCACTGGTGTGCTTATCAACTAGTAAATAGCTGGTTGTTAAGGAGCAGGCATCCATCATGTCCTGAACAACCATGACTCACCTGCTGTCAGCAAAGGAGTTTCCGGCATTTAAAAAAAAAACAAAAAACGCATCCTCCAAACCATACCGGGCTCCCCATGCCAATATAAAAAAAAAAATGCAAAATCCATACCAGACACTTTTCCGAGCATGCAGCCCAGCAGGCCAAAAAAGGGGGAAGGGGGGGCTGAGCGAGCACCTTTCCCCTCCAAACCATACCAGGCCATATGCCCTCAACATGGGGGGAGGGTGCTTTGGAGGGAGGGGCAGCCATCCACTCCTTAACAACCGTGATATTTACTGGTTGTTAATTATGCTGGTTACTGTCCACTCCTTAACAACCATGTTGTTTACTGTTTAAGGACGCCATTAAAATACCTATAGCTTTCACTAATAAAATATCACATATCACATAGCTCTTGCAGTATTTTAGTAGGAGGGTTATTCTCAGCTAACCACACCCTCCTATCTGCATGCCTGAGCTAAAGGCAGATGGATTCCTAGGAAGTAAATGCTACATTAATCATCTACCCTTACCCAAGATGGCTACAGCCAGAAATGCTAGGGGGCGTTTTTCAAAGTGATTTCTCAGCACAATAAAGCATAGAGACATGGATCGATTGGGTTGTTTGCTTTGAATTAAAAAAAAAAAATTAAATAGCATATTTGGTTTTTGGTGCTCAGATGCAGTATACAGTTGTGGCCAAAATTATTCAACCCCCACTGAAATTGAGTGTTTTGGCCAGTTTGACATTGCTTTTGATCATTCAGTCATCTTGCTTACATTTACATTAAAGAGGCACTTGTAGGTCAGACAAATATAACATAACAGTTATAATGAAATAACCACAAATGTCTTTTCTGTGCTCACAGCATTATCAGTTTTTATTCAACCCCCAAGTGACATTCAATCTTAGTACTTAGTACAGCATCCTTTTACAGTTATAACAGCTTTTAAACGTGAAGCATAGCTTGACACAAGTGTCTTGCAGCGATCTACGAGGGTATCTTCGCCCATTCTTCATGGGCAAAGGCCTCCAGTTCAGTCACATTCTTAGGCTTGCGCACTGCAACTGCTTTCTTTAAGTCCCACCAGAGGTTCTCAATCGGATTTAAGTCTGGTGACTGCGATGGCCACTCCAAAATGTTCCAGCCTTTCCTCTGCAACCATGCTCTAGTGGACTTGGAGGTATGCTTGGGATCATTGTCCTGTTGAAAGGTCCAACGTCTCCCAAGCCTCAGGTGTGTGACGGACTGCATCACGTTTCCATCCAATATCTCCTGGTACTGAAGAGAATTCATGGTACCTTGCACACGCTGAAGCTTCCCTGTACCTGCAGAAGCAAAACAGCCCCAAAGCATGATTGACCCTCCACCATGCTTCACAGTAGGCAAGGTGTTCTTTTCATCATAGGCCTTGTTCTTCCTCCTCCAAACATAGCGTTGATCCATGGGCCCAAACAGTTCTAATTTTGTTTCATCAGTCCACAGAACACTATCCCACAACTTTTGTGGTTTGTCCACATGGCTTTTGGCATACTGCAGTCGACTCTTCTTATTCTTTGGAGACAGCAAGGGGGTACGCCTGGGAGTTCTGGCACGGAGGCCTTCATTACGCAGTGTGCGTCTTATTGTCTGGGCTGAAACTTCTGTACCCACATCTGACAAATCTTTTCTCAGTTCCTCAGCAGTCACACGGGGACTTCTCTCCACTCTACGCTTCAGGTAGCGCACAGCAGTCGAAGTCAGCATCTTCTTTCTGCCACGACCAGGTAGCGTTTCAACAGTGCCCTTTGCCTTGAATTTGCGAATGATGCTTCCTAAGGTGTCTCTTGGTATGTTTAACATCTTTGCAATCTTCTTATAGCCATTGCCCTTCCTGTGAAGAGAAATCACCTCTTCTCTTGTCTTCCTGGACCATTCTCTTGCCTTCACCATGTTTGTAACCACACCAGTAAATGTCTAGAAGGAGCTGAGTATCACAGTCATTTTAAAGCTGCCTAATTGGTGCTTATTATGCTTGATTGCTGCTCGGTGACATCCACAGGTGTTTTCAATACCTGATGGAAAGCACCTGTATGAACCTCTGTTCTTCAGAGTGGTAGTCTTTAAGGGGTTGAATAATTGTGGCAAGAAACCACATAAGAACCATTTACTACTGTATTACATAAACAATTGATGTCATTTTAGTTGCATTTGGGTAGTTACAACGTCCTTGTAGGATTTGATTCTGAATACAATTCCAAATGTACACTATAGTCCCTAAACCCCTTTACAGCATTGGGGGTTGAATAATTTTGGCCACAACTGTAGTTCAGCTTTGAAGTAGAACTAAAGCAAAACTTTTTTTTTTACATTTTGGATACAATAAGGGAAGGTTATAAACCCTGTCAGGTTTGTTTGCTATTTGTGGAGATTTATCTTCACTTCCTGCCCAAAGAAGTAAGAGAAAATTCTTAGAAAGTGACAAGATCCTTGGTTGCCACCAGGGTCACCAGAAGTAGTGTCCCCATTGGAAGATCTCCATTCTATTACTGTTCTGGGGAAAACCCAAATTTTGGGACATGACAAATAGAGAGGGTGCATCCCCCTAATGGGGGCATAAATGGCAATTACAGTTCGACAGGTGCTCTAATCCCTCTGTATTCTGTCCAAAACCAAAACAAATGTTGGTTTTAGTTATACTTTAACCGTTTGCCTACAGGGCACTTATACCGCCTTCCTGCTCAGGCCAATTTCTAGCTCTCAGCGCTGTCACACTTTGAATGACAATTGCGCGGTCATGCAACACTGTACTCATATGACATTTTATCATTTTTTTGTGACAGATAGAGCTTTATTTTGGTGGTATTTAATCACCTCTGGGTTGTTTTTTTTCTTAAACAAACCAAAACAAATGTACAGCGCTGAGCGAACTATTGGCGCTTTATAAATACTGTAATAATAATAATAATAATAAAAAACCGCTGAAAATTTTGAGAAAAAAATGTTTTTTCTTAGTCTTTGTTGTAAAATTTTGTAAATAAGTGATTTTTCTCCTTCACTGATTTGCGCTAATGAGGCTGCAGTGATGGGCACTGATAGGCTGCACTGATGGATACTGATAGGTGGCACTGATGGGCACTGATGAGGAGGCACTGGTAGGTGGCACTGATGGGCATTAACAGGCATCACTGATGGGCACTGAAAGGCAGCACTGATATATGGCACTGATAGGCGGCACTGATAGGCGGCACTGATAGGTGGCACTGACTGGCACTGTTAGGTGGCACTGACAGGCATTGATAGGCGGCACAGACTGGCACTGATAGGTGGCACTGATTGGCAGCACTGATAGGTGGTACTGATTGGTATTGATGGGTGACACTGAAAGGCAGATCAGATGGGCACTGATATGTGGCATTGATGTGCACTGGTAGGCACTGGTATGTGGCACTGGCACGTGGCACTGTTCAGCACTGGCAGCTGTCACTGATGGACACTGACAGGTGGCACTTCTGGGGCCACACTGATCATCAGGGCACACTGATCATCAGTGCCCTGATGATCAGTGTACATGTCCCCTTTGAGGAATGCCGATTACCGGCTCTCCTCTCCTCTCGAGCTGTCAGCGTGACAGCTCGTGAGGAGAGAAATGCGGATAACCGGCATTTCCCTGTTTACATGTGATCAGCTGTGATTGGACACAGCCGATCACATGACCGAGCCGACATCTACGGCTCTTTCCGTAGATTGGTGATCCGCTGTGTCCGAGGGACACAGCGCGCACCGCCAATCGCCGCGTTGCGTGCTGAGAATGGGAGGACGTCATATGACGTCCTCCCAGAACGAGAGAACCACCTTGCTCTCGTCATTGGACTATATGGCGGGCGGGAGGGTGGTTAAAGAGTAACTCCACTTTTGTTGATAAAAAAAATTCCCTTCTGGGTGATCTATGCACATTGCAAGGATTTTAACAAACTTTGTTTTAGATTCCTACTTTTTCTTATTCTGAGTTAACTGCTGTTTGCCTGTGGCCGTGTGTAGAGTGGATGTGAATGGGAGTGGTTTTATAATTATCAATCAGCTGCTGCACCTGCAGGGCTCTAAGGAGGAAATTGGCAAGGTCTGCATCCCTTTTAATTATAATTTCTTTGGGAGTATCTCACCAGAAATGACATTTTTGTTGCAGGAGATGCCAAAAAACTAATTTGTATTGTAGTACAGACTTCTGAGAAAATCAGTGAGCCAATCACTTAAGCTCAAATGACATTTTCATTGGGCATTCTGTACACCATCTGTGTACAGAACACCTCCAGGTAGCCATTTTGCACTGCATTTTACAGAAAAGTACAGTGCTGCAGATTGAAAAGGAAAGATCATTTTTAAAAACATTTAATTACAATGTGACTTAAGTCACAATATTATACGCTATATAATTTTTTTTTATTTGCTTATTTTTTTTTCCTATGAAAGAGGAGTTACCTTTTAAGCTGCTTTTGCATTCCCATTGACTTGTATGGGGAGATAAGCAGTTCTGATGCAAGCAAAAGCCCACCAACACAGACCCTTAAGCTCACCATTTAAATACACAACACAGACTTTTTGTTGTGTCCTGTGAGTACTATTATGCCACTTTAATAAACTTTTGGGAAATATTGCACAGTGTTGGCTACACATTTAAACTAACATATGCTTCACCAAAGGGGATGTGGTTCATGTAACTACACTTGCAGACATCAGCTGTATAGTGGTGGAGAGCGATCCGCAGTTTCTCTGACACTTCTTTTACACTTGTAAGTAAACTTGATCAAATTAGACAATTAACTTTCAAGTGAAATTTTAAATTGCTCACCTTTTGCCTTGGTTGGATTTACGTGTTATAAATCGGCAGTTAGTACTGTTGAGTGATATAGCTGTCATTCCAGGATCTTACTCAGATCTTGGGCATGTGCTGATCCTTTCTAAAGTACTACCATTATGGGAGCACCAGGTGTCATTAAGCAAACTGACAGCCACAGAAAGTAGAGAATTGAAAAAGCAAATACTGGTGTGATTATTCATAAATCTTTATATTGTGATTTTTAGTGCAGGTTTACACTGAACATAGTACAGTTGCAAGAAAAAGTATGTGAACCCCTTGGGGTTACGTGGAGTTTTGCATGAATTGGGCATAAAATGTGCTCTGAACGTCATATAAGTCATAACAATAGAAGAACACAGTCTGCCGAACATAACACTACACAAACATTAGATGTTG